AGTAAAAATACTTACTTGAAAAAGGTAGTACCTAGTTGTTTAGTTCATTAATAATTAATTATAAAATACACCTATTAGATAATTAATATATCTCAAAACCTATATTATTTTTCTATATGCATATGCATAATACCACTAACATGAGGCAATTCATTAGTAAATATGGTGTAAAGCAAAGGAAAACATTTGGCACTGTAATGGTGTGTTACAGTTCCATTAACTTGATACTTATAATTGCCATTTGTGGGCCTTTAATGTTAAATTATACATATCATTGCCTGAAAAGGGCCATTGCAAGACCTTACCACGACAGCCTTTGGTCTAAATTGACATTTATTAACGAAAAATTCCTGTAGAGGCCCAGTACAAGAACAGCTTGGGTTAAAAATGCCATCATTTAACCATTAAACGCTGTAATGGGCCATTACATTACCAGACTTATGTGTTTGCTGGGAATGTGTCTTATACTCAGAGCTGGCCAATTACTGAGTACTTTTTTACTCATAAGAATTTTTCATTTGAAATACTTATTACTCGTACTTACAAACTAAATTCAATGTACTCGTAAAAAATACTCGTGTAATTCACGAATAATGTATACGAGTATTTCCGTTTATTATCGTAAGCATCAAAACATTTTGTTTGGAAGTCTGTTTTAAATTATATAATATATACTATAATAACAAGTATGTGGGTAAAATTATAAACTATATAACTAGAATTGCTATTTGTATTTATTATTTTATGTACCGGGTGATCCCCTATAATGTAGCCCCCCTATAATTTTTTTATTCTAAGTGTCCCAAAAAATTTAAAAGTGTAATGTAGATACTAAAAAATACTTTTTTTCTACTTATAAAAAAAATTGGAAAATTGATCAGTATACAGGGAAAAACAAAAAGTTTATTTTTTTCTCAATGGATCAATATGAATTTATTTTTCGATTCCTTGTAAAATTCTAAGCATAATTTATATAACATACCATATACCTAAATTCAACCGTTTCTGAAATATTTAAATTATTTTTAAGATAATAAGTTAAAATAGTTTGTCTTTCTCGGTCTGAGTACGCCATTTTTACTTACTTAACAAGACATATTGACATAATATCACTATAATTATTTATTTTCAATAAACATTTTGTTATTCTAAGGCTTCTTGATTTGTAAAAAAATATTTGATGATATATCGATAACGTTTCCAATGCGAATATTTCAGAAACGGTTGAAATATTAGGTATATGGTTTGTTATATGATTTATGCTCAGAATTTTACAAGGAATTGAAAAATAAATTTTATAAGGTGATCCATTGATAAAAAAATAAACTTTTTGTTTTTTCCTGTATAGGTACTGATCAATTTTCCAATTTTTTTATAGGTGGAAAAAAAGCATTTTTTAGTACCTACATACCCACATTTTTTGGGACACTTAAAATAAAATACATAATTTTATAACTTTGTATTTTTATAGCTCAGGACCAAAGTACCGTAAACACGGGTGGCTTTAGCTCACTTTCAAACTTAATCTTAACATTTTTGTAGTTTTAACATTCATAAACATTAAATATTGTATACCAAAATTTGAGTCTTGAGTTGCTCTTTCATAATAACTATGTTATAATCTTACATAGAGCCGAGTTTCAAAAATAAAAATTAAAAACTGGGTGTGCAAAGTTACCCCCTGGTTGCAGGTTACTTTGTCTCACAGTGTATTTTCCGTATAAAATTAACTCAATATTTTTTTTATTATTATTACATATACCAAAATTTGAGTCTTGAGTTGCTCTTTCATAATAACTATGTTATAATCTTACATAGGGCCGAGTTTCAAAAATAAAAATTAAAAACTGGGTGTGCAAAGTTACCCCCTGGTTGCGGGTTACTTTGTCTCACAGTGTATTTTCCGTATAAAATTAACTCAATATTTTATTTTATTATTATTACATATGTTAGCAGCGACATATAGCAATTGCAAGGGATTACCGATAAAAACAATAAAAAATCGACCTGTAGTTAACCAAGGATCATTATTCCAAAGAATTGCGCATAATATAGAAATTGAAACGCGTGTATTTTTAAGAGTTTTGCACTAATGCAATATATACAACTTTAAAGTGTAATAAATCCCATTTACTTTTTTAAAACACTGATTTTCCTGTAATATAAACCCAATAGAACCGCTCAATTGACAGGTTTAGACCAACAAATTATAAATGTTAATTTTATCGACCGCGAAATTTTTTTCATAAAAGGGCTAATGTCACCCGCGTTTACGGTATGTATAATGTATAAAGAATACTCAATTATATAAACTAACATTTTTTTTCAAAAGTACTCGTACTCTTTACTCTTGTTTTCACGATTACTACTCGTAACCGTAACCTCTCTTAACAAATGTACGAGTAAAGTACTTACGAGTAAATATTTTAAGTACTCGTACTTAAAATTTTACGAATACTTTTTTCAGTACTCGTGCCCAGCTCTGCTTATACTGTATACATTTTAAAGTTGTACGTATTTAATAAACCTGTTATAAATTTTAGCAAACCAGCACACTTATACGGGCTTCCTAAAGTTCATAAAGAAGGAATACCTCACCAATCACTGGCTCCAGATCCGCTCCAACGGACAAACTCGACATTCTTACTGAAAATCCTAAACCCATCCTATGTACAAACGTACCAGTCGCAAAATGTTTATAACTAATAGAGGATTTATTAGAAACTGACAATAACCTAGGGGATAGGACCACGATACCAGTTAAAGGTCTTATTGAGTTACTAGAGATATGTCTCAACAATTCCTATTTCCAAGTAGAACCACAATTGCTCAAAAAGATGGTTAGCCAATGTTTTTATTGTTATCACTAATTGTAGCCAATATCTTTATGGAATGGTTTGAAAAAAACGCTCCAGAAACTGCCCGCAAAAAAACAAAAACTTGGCTAAGATACGTGGACGATACCTTTATAATTTGGAACAAAGGCGAAACGGAACTCAACAATTTTCTTTACCCATATAAACTTAGTAAACCGAGCGATAAAATTAACCATGGAGAAAGAGAAAAATAGAAGTATACCTTTTTGGTATACTGTCATTACAAGAAAGAACGATAATTACGCCACCTTTGTGTACAGAAAACCAACGCATACCGATCAATACTTGAACAGTGAATCGAATCATACGGGTCAATAAAAAAGGAGATATAATCTCACTTTTTGATAGACCTAAGAATGTATGTAACAAGAAGCTATAGAAAAAGAAAAAAAGGACAACAATTTATTAAAAATTCCATATGTAAAAGGGTCTATTAGAAGAGATAAGAAGAAAAGCAAAAAAGTTCAAAGTTGACACAGTTTTCAAGTCTTCAGGAACTTTAAGAAGCATTTTATGCAAAACAATTGCAATTTGCTACTAGCAATTGAAACGTCGTGTTAATAAACAATTTTAGATGATGTCAGTCCAGGAAGTTTTAGAAAAAAAGTTATAAATTCCTTGTAATTTTTTTGGGTTAATAAAAAAATAGGAAAAAATAGGAATTTTATGTTGAACCTGTGATTGCTTTAAAATTGAATTCATTGTATATTTTTGTTTTCTATAATTTGTTTTACTACTATGGTTGATTGATTTATCTTTTTTTTAAATATGAAAGCATAACATGTGTTTCACAACTAACAGACTTTTGTGTTTTTGTACTATGGCCTGGAAAGGTGATTCGATTTTGTTGCACCTGTGAAAGCTTTTTTATACCCCCTTCGTGACAATTTGTGTATTTCATTTAAATTCTTATAAACAAATCAAAAGAGAACATTTTTAAATGCGGCCCTTCAAAGAATAATTTTATTATTATTTTTTTTTTAATTTACTAGTAGAAAAATGTTGTAAATACAAAGTTCTACAAAAATTAAATAAAGAAAATAAAAACTTAATTTTTAAAACTTTATAACTAAAAAACTATTTGTCAAAAAAAAAATATTTTACCGTTGATCCGCCATTTTTCGGACACCCTTATACTTAAAATAACCCCACTTCGCTTGTTCTGTCGTAAGTGCGCCATTATGGGGAAACTGTATATTACTGCTCGTAAAAATACGCGAGGACGCAAAAGTCTGCGCGATCATTATAATATGACGTCACAGTAATAAATTCTGGATGTTGAAAACAATTTTATCAAAGGATTTTTTCATTTAAAATTAGGTACACAGTGAATCGAAAATCTAAAATTGTCTTTATTTTTTATCAAAAAGGGTGACGCAAGTAAAAATAGTTAATGAAAATTGTAGTTTGTTCAAGTTTTAAACTATCAATACTTTATGTAAAAAAAAATAATAAAAAAGGTAGTTGATGAAAATTGTGGATTGTTTAATACCTACTTTTAAAGTTTTAAACTATCAATACTTTATGTAGGTACACAAAAAAAATATTTTCTGATTTTTTTATGTTAAAATTAAAAAATAAGGCTTAATTTAAATTATTTATTATTTTAATTACTATCTTTTATGCTTAAAGGAAACTCCCAATAGCACAAGATATTAAAGCATATTTATATTCTCTTCAGTATTATAAATAAAGTAATATTATAATATATAAGTATAAGTACATACTGTTCATAAACACTTAATTTTGACACAATTAAGTTAAATAATGTTTGGTCATTTAAAAATTGCCTTTCCTGCCCCTTTGTTCTAGTATGAATTTAATTTTAAGCAACATAGCAAAACAAATAAGTAAAATTGTAAAAATATAGTTGTTGTGAGTTACAATTTTATTATTTTTTATAGCCACACATAAATATAATAATTGTTTTGTGTAAAACAGAACTAGTAAACTTTTGGTTATGTATGTTATAAATAAAAAGCAGCTGTAAGTTGTAAAAATAAATTAGAGATCAAAGGTTTTGATAATGTTTAAAAAAAAGCCTGCAATGCATGTGTGACAGGAGTGGAAAGCACAGACTAATTGGAGGGTGACAGTGGTGATGTAAGGCATTGGCAGCATTCGCTATGAATCATTTATGGCTACCTCTAACTCCAAGTCTTCATCGTCAAGGTTTTGTGCATTTGGTGAACTAGCGGAGGAGCCCTTGTTAATTGCATTTCGGTTTTGTGTTTTCTTTGGATCAAACGGATCTACCACAATTTGTTCAGTACCTTTAATTTCTGCTCTGCAGAATGGACAACCCTGGCTTCCCTGGCCTTCTGATCCCTAAAAATAAGATGCATGTACAATAATTTTTATTTATTAATTAATACTATTTATTTATGCAGAAAGATTAAAAACAAATTTATAAAGACAATTTAAAAATAAAAAGTATTAGTTTTTCCTTAAATAAATTGCGATTTTTTACCACTAAACATCGCTACAAAAAATGTTAATAAAAAGGCCTACAAGCCAACATTTACTAAAACTAAAAAATAAGTTTTTTGTTATAGGCGTAATTGCGTGATTATAACACTGAAGGTAGATTTTCAACTTTGGAAAAGGCCCACTAAAACGCCGCACTATGGTCAAAAAACACCGTTTTGCTAACTAAACTAAACTAATTATTTTCTACAATTGTATTTTTTTTTAAGAAAGATATAGATTAACTATATTGGCTTCTTAAAGAATTTATGAAAATATACTTAATAATATTAAAGTTCTAGAAAAAAATCTTGTTAAAATATCATTCCTCTGGCATGTTATAACTGAAGACGTCTAACATAAAGGTAGAATAAAAAAACTATTCATATTCTTTTTGTAACTTTTTATTTTTGATTTCAGAATCCTGAAATATCAGTAAAACTAAGCTAAAAATATATATTATATATATTACTTTTAACCACCTTGTTAAAAAATATATAAAACCTGTTACCACCTTTAGCGGTCATTCCTCTGGTTTGCGAAAGATACCTAAATATATGATCCTTGATGGCGACAGGTCCGTGCATGCAACCAGATATTCTTTTCCTATCCTAGTTCTTGCACTGCGTTAGCAAGCTTTGTTTTAAAATTGTTAATGTCACACACAAACAGATCATTTCTCTGGTAAGGGTATTATGTTTATTTATATTTTTGTTGTAACCATTATTTGATTTGAATACGAGATTATGGGTTTACTTTTCTGTAAACGAATTTGTAGATTAGGGTTTGTTGTATTTTCTTCCCCACGTGAAATAAACTAAGAAATCATCATTCCTTTGGCACCATTCCTCTGGGCTATTAAGATCCAAAGGACTGATGACTGGCTCAGAGGAATGCCTGGTTTAAAGCTTTTTCTATTTTTGTAGATAAAAATGCCATTATCACGAGAAGAAAAAATAAAGCGTGAAAGAGAAGCTAAGAAAACAAGATATGAAAAGTTGACCCTGAAGGACGGAAAAAGCTAAAAATGAAAGAGAAACATGAATATTTACAGAAAAAAGAAAAGAAAATAGTGCTGCCCGTCACTGAAATGACCAAACGAGAGCAACGAATAAAAAGAAAACAATGGCGTGTTGCAAAACACGCCATCCGATTCTTCCTACGCCCAAGTTTAAAAGTGTATTAAGAAGAAACATTGTTACAAAGTATCGTCTTACAAAAAGAACAATCTTTGCAAAAAAATGGAATGTCAAAAAAAAATGCAATTCAAAAATTTTTGGAATCCGATTTGAATAGTATTCTGGAAAAAAAGGCTATTGTTCAAAAAAGTAGACTAATAAAGGAAAAAAAGATATCTCAGTGATACTTTGCAAAATTTCCACAAAAAATTTCAGGCTCGTCATTCAGATATTAATGTTAGCTACTCATTTTGGGGTAGAAATATCAGATGAAAAGGATGTTTTGTACGTTAATTACCAGGACAAAATAACAATATTACCACATCCCGAAATAATTTAGCAAGCCTCCAAAATGTTTTATAAATTTAAAAACTTAATTGGCGTATTTGAATAAAATTAAAGTTCCTATAATAGAACATACAATACAATAACATAAAAATAAAATAGTTACTTAAAAAACAAAAACATAAACCTGCTTTATTTCATAAACCATTTTCAAAAAATGGATTACAAAATAAAGCAGGTTTATATTTTTGTTTTCAAGTAACTATTTCATTTTTTTGATAATGTTTTTACAAATCATCGCAAATCTGCTCGAAAAACAATTAAACTGTTTGATCTTTCACTTTGCAGGGTTTATTTCGAACAAAAGGTCGTTTTTACATACTTAAAAAATAAAATTAGAACAAAAAAACTATTTTCAAATTACTATATTAAAAATGATTTTCTGTATAATCACCCACAAATACATATTTTTTTTTACTGACTAAGTAAGACTTATTATGTATAATTAAGTTTATTTTAATAAAAAAAAAATCCCTTTTAATTTTATAATGCGTTTTTAGATCGCCAAAATCACCGTTTTGCGAAAATAATTCATTAACTTTTTTATAACAAATAAATATTTCTTATTTTCTTTTTTACTGAGTTAAGTAAAGCCGAAGGAGTTTTTGTGATTATTTGCGCTGTCTTACCATCTATCACAGTGAACTGCATCTTGTGTTTAACAGCGTAACTTTTTCCAGATATTGTTACTTTTGGCTCAAAATTTCTCAAGTGTGTCACTTAAAAATTGATGGTCTCATTTTTCATCGATTAATACAGTTTTTAATCGGTTTAGGGGTAAAAACAACTTTCCTAAAATATTTTTGTAAAACATCGATTTTTACAATACTTATTAATAATTACATTTTTTGTGGATGTTTTTTTCAAAAATTATGTTATATCAAAATTTTCGTTAAAGTAAGACATAACATGCCTAATTAAATTTATAAAACAATTTAAACAAATATATTTTTTAACTCATCGGGTGTTAATTCTTTACGTAACTGTGTGTTAGCATACACATTAATGCACATACACATGCATGTAAAATGCACATTAAGTTTAATTCATTACTGAATTTTTCATAAAATTGATAATTATAAAAAGTTTATTAATAAATAAAAATAACTTGACTGGGCGCGCTGCGGCAAACACATCGCAAATTCGGCAGTAACAACTGACCGGAAATGCCTTTTGCACCAAGACTGTTAGTAGGCGAAGCCAATAACATAAACAAGGAATACATAGACGCACAATAATACAGAGCTGACCATATTTGAGTTTTAAGAGTAAAATGTAAATTTGCTGCTTTTTGCCGCTGGCGCGCCCGCCGGAGGGTTAAAAAATATACCTACTTTACGATAAAAAATATGTTGTTAGGGGCAAACCTTTTTTAAAAAAAAATAAAACAATTAAAAATTAATAAAACTTCTCAGCCTGCGAGAAATTTTATTTACATTTTATCTGATTTTACAGTTCATTACGAAAATTTTGGTAAAAAAAATTATTATTTTGTAATATGTCAAAATTTATAAATGTTTTTGTGACCGCGCTCTGAACTCTAGCTCTGGTCGAGCACAATGACTGAGCGCGCGCGGTTTAACAGTTACTGGTTTAACCGTAACTAAAACCGGTTTAAGCGCGACCGTGAACATAAACAAACGAGTCATAGTTTGAGCTCTTACTAGGAATGCGCAAATTGAATGTCATATTGAAGTGAAAAAATCAATATTGATAAACATTAATGCTTTTAAAACTTAAACATTTAAATGTTAGTAAAACAAAAGTATTTTTATTTAAAAAATACAAACAAATATAAACATTTAAAAAGAAATAAGGAAATCTATAGTTTTTTCATGTTTTCCAGTGCAGGCAACATAGTTTCGGCGAAAAGAAACTGCTCCCGGAAAAAGCTGATAAATTGATTTTTTTACATCAAAACTCAATAATTAAAAAATAGGGAGTTTTGTTATTATTTTTATCACTAAACTATAATTTATTTTGAAACTTGAAAAATGTTTATGTTTTTGTTTTTTAGTTTTTAGTAAAATTGGTGGTATTTTTATTATTCTAATTTCATTTTTATTTGTATCTATTTTAAAAACTGCCTGGTTGTCAGGGGTAAAGAAAGGTGCAAGGGTTATTGAAGTGATCCCTTTTTATTAAAAAAAAGGAATTTGCTACGATTAAACCGGTGACGGCTACAGTTAATCCAGTTACGGTTAAACCGCCGATCCGGTCTAACCGGTCCGACCGGTTAATAGGACCGGTTAACCAGATATCCGACCCGGTTATAATAATTTAAAAATCTGGTTAAAACCGAAACCGGTCAAAACTTGTCGAACCGGTTAACCGTTTATTACTTCAGGAATTGACAGCCTTAGTTTTTACCCCTGAACCGATTGAAACCCGATGAAAAATGGGACCTTCAATTTTTAAGTGGCACACTTTGAGCCTTTTGTATTTTTAAACTGAACAATTTCTTCAGTTATTTTGTTATATTTATGTGTCCAAAACTTTGTAAATTCAAAATATATAGGGCGACACCATCTCGGAGATGAGGCCAAATCAGTATCAAGGGCACCATGGATACCATGTAGATACTAACATCTAAAGTTTCTTGATTTTCTTGCAGCAAATATTTTTTATTATATTCAGATTGGCCGGAAGCACCATCACATCCCCATTTACTAATCAAAAGTAATTCATTTTCATGTTCTTTAATTTGAATTGCTTCCAATAAATGTTTTGAAGTATGGTCTAAAAGACTTTGCAAATTTACCTGCGCACTTGTTTCGGTGACATCAAATTTATCTGGATAGCATTCATTTTTGACTTCAAGAACTTTATAATAGGGTGATAAAATGTCATGCCAAAAATCCTTTACGACATTTCTAAATGGTTCAATTTGACATTTAGATAATTGGGCCATTGTTATTAATGTCAACGCCTGATCAGCGGGCATATATATTTTTTTCATAATATTTTCGGGAGACTTGGCTACTTTAGTTAACAGGTTAAAATCAACAGATTCCCGAAAGTTTTGTAAAGACCGGTGAGATGTCAACCATTTCGTTTTAAATTTATATAAAAAGTTGTTTTTAATTTTGTCCATAATAAGTTTAAATTAATTTTCATCTAAATTTGAAAACGTATCTTTTAAATTTCCATAAAAAATGGTGACGTCTTTTTCACTATTTAAAAATAGGTCTGTTAAAAACCCAAAAGAAATGCAGAAAGTACTCATTTTGATCAATCTTAAAATGTAATTGTCAAAATTAAGTTTGTTATTATTATATATATACAGGGTGAGTCAGAAGTAGGTGCATTAATTTAAGGAGGTGATTCTACAGATTATTTTGAGTCGTTTGAACCCCATATTCGGGCCGATTCTATAAGAAAGTGACTAGCGTTTTATCACCCAGCTAAGTGGTTATAAGGAAGGTCAGTGGTTAACTTAATCACCAAAACAAAATTGGCATTTTGTAATGAGTAAGTGGTTATATATTTAACAACTCTAACCTAAAAAGAGTTGTTATATTTATCACCAGGTTATGGTTAGTGTTTATTAATTTAGTGACAGTTATTAGTAAAATTTGTATTTGTATGACGAAATGGCGATACATTTCCTACCAGTTCTTAAACATTTTTGAAGAAGTGTTGAGAAGGTATGTAGCAAAAAATTGATGATTACCTAAAAAATGTTAATTTTAGGTACCGCTTGCTACTGGATTTATAAAAAATGTATAGATTTCTACTTTTATTAATTTGAAGCACCCTAGAAAAATTTGAATTTTCGTTTTCTTCCGGTTTTTCTTGAATTTCTTGTTCCTCTGGCATGTCCGTAAACCCATTAATTTTTCGTCCAGTTCAGTTAAAGGCTTTGCAGAATTGGGTCGACCACCCGTGGCCTGCGCCTCTACTTTGAAATCCCTTGCCTTTTTACGCGTTCGAGACTTCCACTCTACAAAGTACCTTCGCCAGTCTTCGGCACACTTTTTTGGCCCCGATAATAAATTTAAAGACTTTCCTATGGATTCCCATAATTTAAGCAACTCTCCCACCTTAAGAGGATTGGGCTTCATGGTGAGGACGGTTTTATTTTGCGGTAATGATAACAAATCAACCAGTTGCGACATTTGATCCGCACTGACTTTTGTTCCTCTATGTCTTACTTTCTTTTCTAACGTCATCATGCTATAAAAATAGAAGATGAAGAACCCTCAATGTCAAAACTAACCAGTTTACCTTTTTAAGTCCTGTATGGCACTCGACACACGCAATTACGTTCGCCTCAGAAATACAACTGACATAAGTTTGAAGTTTAAACAGTGTCCAAATGGTATTTATTTGAATTAACAGTTCTACATTTGAACTACTTTTAATAACGCGTGATTACGAAAATTAAACCAGTGACGGTTGTTAACATTTTACTTATGGAATAGGAAAATATCTAAAAGTCATTATGCGGGTCATAAACTGTTAACTTCTAATAACGTTATTATCATAAACACTTCTGTAGTAATTTTTTTAACCAAAAGTTATTAGTTTTTGAGTTATTTGATTTTTTGTGATTTTGGTAAAAAATCGTGTCCAGGATTAAATTTTTTTAAATTTCTTGATAAGAATTAAAGTTAATTAAACGATTATTTTTTTAGTAGTTAGCCCATACATTGGTACATGCCACATAGTAATAGTTTTTCCAAAAAAGCCACATGGAGCTTCAGAACAACAGTATAAAATAAAATTTTATTCGCGAATTTGGAAGATTTGTTCAGTTCATCAGGATTTTTTTAAATTTTACTATTGCGTGCAAATTATTTAAAAAACTTTCTTAATGTATTACCTTTCGAATGATGTATAATATGCCAATAAAAACTATTATTTTTAGGTAGAAAATGTCACCTTTTTAAAACACACACCGGTTTTAGTTTACGCTAACAATTCACGATTAGTAGTAAGTAAAATACTTGAGTGTTAAGTTAACATTTTTTTATTAAAATATTACTAAATAAAGGTCTACAGAAAATTCTCAACGTGTCCGCCATCATTTCTAATGCAAGCTTGTGCCCTTTTTCTGATTTTTCATTACACGAGCGACCTTGCTTTGTGTTAAACCCAACTCAGAAGCTACTTTTCTTGTGCTGGTAGTTGGATCTTCTTCAAATCTTTCTAGAATGTCTTCATCAACATTTACATTAACTTCAGGAGCTCCAATGCGTGGTCTTGGTATAACAGTGCCGGTTTCAGCTATACGACGATATGTTGTACTGAATACTCTTTCATTAGGAACGCGTTTTTGTGGGAACCTTACTTGATATTCTCGTCGAGCTTCAGCTACGTTTCCATTACAAAATCCATATACAAACATAATATCAGCGTATTCAGCATTTGAAAAGTTTGGCATGTTGAATTAATATGAATTAAACCTTTATTTCGCAATAATTTAAATACACAATTCCTGATACCTCAAGAATAGTTAATACCTAATAATTATTATTCCAGGTAAAATTTTCTTTAGTTTGCTTCCATATTAGTTAAATATTACCTTTAATAATACATCAAGACCCATTACTACCTGGAACTGTTAATCCTAGGGTGAACTACTGTATGTGCCTTACAAAGGTGACATTTTCTATCCAAAAATAATAGTTTTTATGGACATATTATACATCATTCGAAAGGTAATACATTAAGAAAGTTTTTTAAACAATTTGCACGCAATAGTGTGTAGTAAAATTAAAAAAAAAATCCTGATGAACTTAACAAATCTTCCAAGTTATATCCAAAATTTAAAAATTTATTGTTATAAACAAAATGTAATGTAATAATTACACTGGTTTACAAATTAAAATTAAAAAAATGTACCTTCGCTGCCACTATTTTTTTCTAATGTATTGTGACCTGTTAAACTTAAAAATCACAAAAAAAAAATTTTATGGCAAGGTTTTTGAGATAAAATTTTTTCTTTAATATTTTGGTTCTTTAAGAAAGCAGCTTTACAATTTGGGTCATATCTCGGGTTAGAAATGGCCAATCTGGTTGAAAAAAGTTTAAAATTAAACATATTTGAGTCGCCAACAAATACCACCTTATTAGTACCCAATCAGTTAATAAGCTTAAGTTCAATGGGCTCAAATATTAGAAAAAGTCGTTTTTTTTTGGAGAAAAATGAGAATGTAACATTATTTTCTTTGCCAAGGATGAATACAAATCAACAAAATATGTCAATTTTTAAATTATCTACGTGGAGTTCAAACTGTTATAAAGAAAACAAGATATTTTTAAAACAAATCTATTGATAATTATTATAATTAAAGGGGTTAATGCAAAAAGTGGACAGGTAAATTTTTTTTCGAAATTAAGTTTTTTACAAAAAAAAAGGTTCTATTAGCCTAATAGAACCTTTTTACTGTTAAATAAATTTTATTTTATATTTTAATATTAAAATACAGTGTGTTCCTTTTAAAACTAACCCCCCTAAATTCTCGGAAACTAGAAGTATTTTAAAAAACGCAGAGACAGGTAAAGTTTTATATCGAGGGGGAAAACTTTTTACGGCAAAATTTGGTTTCCCACCTTTACCTTCTGCGCCCCGGAGTTACCCCCTTAGGAATTTAAATAGAGAAGGGGTACAGAGTACTACATTATTTTAAAGGTCTTGAAAATCCCTATTAAACGGCATTTTATTTTTTTTAAATTGGTCAGTTCATTTTTTAGATATGTACAAATTATTAAGGGGAAAGCTCCTGGGCATAGAGGATAAGGGTGGGAAACCAAATTTTGGCATTAATAGCATTAATGGCAAAATTTGTTGTCTCCCTCGATATAAAACTTTATGTGTCTCGTGAGTTTTCAAAATTCTTTTAGTTTCCGAAAAATTCAGGATGTTTCATTTTAAATGGAACACTCTATATATCATTATAATATAATTTAATATACAATACTATTGTAAATTAAAAATAATTTAGGTTTTTAGATTGCCTTCTGTTTTCGTTATCTGATTCCCTTACAAGGAACCAAATATAATCCCCCATCATTCTTTCATTCCAAAAGCCCTGATAGCGCCGCTCCATGGATTTTATTTCTTGATGAAACCTTTCACGTACCTGTACATAAACTGTAATAACTTTGACATTTATCCATAGAATTACTACTTGTAGATATTTTAAAAATGGGCATATTTTAATGATTTTTGCTTCTTTTTGGTAAAATAGTAAATACTTCATTCTAAATTTGTCCAAAAAATTGACTTTTTCTCGATATTTGGCCCCATTGCACCTAAACTTATTGACTAATTGGGCATTTATACAATTACATTTGTTATTATGTTAATTAGGTTTAATTTGACATCTGTTGTAATCAAATTGGCCATTTCAAACTCGAGATATATCCCAAATAGTAAAGCTGGCATCGAAAAATCAAAGACAATTTTTTATTTGGAAAATCTTGCCATAAAAAAATTTTTTATTGTCATTTTCGAGTTTAGCAGGCCAAAATACATCAGAAAAAAATAGTCGCACTCAAGGTACATTTTGACTGTAAACCAGTGTTATTAGGTAATTAATAATCCTTTAAGAATTTGTTTACTTATTATAACTGTTATCCAGGTACTAAAATACTATAAAGTACCAATTGGTGGTAAATATAGATAGGTATATTGTTATATTTTAAAACAGGTAATCATTTTTTATTTATATATACACATATATATATTTTTAAGAAACTTTTTTTTTCAACTAAAAAACAGGCTTAAAACTTTCAGGAAGGTGAAAAAAGAAAGCTCTAAAAATTTGAGCTCTTAATATTAACATTAAGTGGTGCCTGTTCCTAACTTTCCATTTTCCATTTAAATAACATGGAAATTTTTTTTCTTTTTTCTTATTTTTGTAGCTTGACATTTGAGCATTGTAAAAACGAACTGAAAAATTATTTTGGTAGGAAATTGAACGGTCTACAAAAAAGTTTCAATATATTTTTTCATAGAGTGAGCCGTTTTGAAGGTATTCAAACTTAAAGTTGCCTTTAACATTTCGAATCGCGGCACGTTAGCGTGCCTCTAGTCACCGTGTAATCCGAAATATACCGACTGAACCGATATAATCTTTTATCAGAGTTATCGACTTTAAAATTATAAAAACTAAAGAAAGATTAAAAATTCAATACAATAACAAATTCATTGTTTTATTTAATCTATTACAATTATTGAACAAATTTATTGAAAACAAATAACTTTTTGTGATAGTAAATAAAATAAAATGGAAAAAAAATTGAGATGTAAGTGTTATTTTCTTTCTATACGAAAATGATTTTTTTTTCTTAAAATAATTTTTAAGACATAAAAAAAGTATAAGTTTAATAAAATAAGTCATAATTTCATACATTTGCAAGTTTGAATACCTTCAGAACGGCTTACTCTATGAAAAAATAAATTAGTACTTTTTTGTAGAGCGTTCAATTTCCTACCAAAATAATTTTTCTGTTCGATTTTACAATGCTTAAATGTCAAGATACAAAAATAAGAAAAAAGAATTTTTTTTTGTATGTTATTTAAATGGAAAATGGAAAGTTAGGAACAGGCACTACTTAATGTTATTATAAAGAGCTCAAATTTTTAGAGGCTTCTTTTTTCACCTTTCTAAAAGTTTTCAGCCTGTTTTTTAGTTGAAAAAAAAAGTTGCTCAAAAATGACACCCTAATATATATATATATATATATATATATATGTGTATATATAAATAAAAAATGATTACTTACCTGTTTTAAAATATAACAATATACCTATCTATATTTACCACCAATTGGTACTTTATAGTATTTTAGTACCTGGATAACAGTTATAATAAGTATACAAATTCTTAAAGGATTATTAATTACCAAATAATTATTACATTACATTTTGTTTATAACAATAAATTTTTAAATTTTGGATATAACTATAAATTATAATTAAACAAATTGAACTTAATATTCAAAATTTAATGTTATAAACAAAATGTAATGTAATAATATTAATATTTGTTTTAAATAAACTATATATCTTTACGAATCTAGTGAGGAATTAAACTTAACTAGTTAAGTACGAGCTACCGCGATTTATCTATGCTGCGCGACAAAAAATATTCAAAACTTAATTATGCACTTTTATGCACCTAATTTTTTGATGCGCTTTCAAAGGAAAGCTTACTGAACAATT